CCCATGGATTCCATCCCATGGATCCCATCCCAATCCCATCGCACTGATCTCATCCCATTATTCCATCCCATAATCACATGGATCCCATCCCATCCCATCCCATCCCATTATCCCATGGATCCCACTATCCCACGGATCCCATCCCACGGATCCCATCCCCCGATCCCATCCCATCCTGCCCGGATTCCCACCTTTCCTCGGGAAGACGATGAGCGAGGTCTCCGTGCCGCCCTGGAGCCGGCAGTAGCCGTCGATGAGGTCGGCCATGTTCTCCGCCTCGGCCAGCGACGACGTCTTGATGTCCAGCGACTTGGGAATGCCGGGATGGGGGGACGGGATTGGGCTTCCCCCTTCTCCCCGCTCCGCCGGCGATCCCAGTTTTCCACAACCTCCCTTCCCAGAATTCCGAGACACCCCGGACAACACGGAAGCGTTCCCGGGAAGAGGCGGCAACAGGGACATTCCCCATTTTCAGGGATTTTTTTTGGGATGGAGCTTCCTGCCCGACCCGCAGGGATCCCGCTCGGCATTCCTGGGATGCTGTGGTGAATTCCCGGGAATTCTCGAAATTCCCAACTCCTCACCTGGGGGTTCCCGCTGAGCCCCAGCTGCAGCAGAGCCTGGCCGTCCTCCGCTCCGGAGCACCGGATGGATTTGATATCCCGGAATTCCGCCAGGCAGGTGGGCTGGGAAGGGGGAATTCACCGGGAATTCGGTCGGCGGTGAGTTTAACCGAAGCAGGAGCGCTCCGGGTTCCCATCCCGGAATTCCCACCTTGGCGTCCTTGGTGGTCACCTGGCGGATGCCCTTGGGGCCGATGACCAGGTCCACGGTGATGTTCCACCCTTGCTGGGGGCAGCAGGAGCGGGAGGGGGTTTGGGATGAGGAGCATCCCGAGGGGCCGCTCCCATCCCAATCCCATCTCCGTGAAATCCCAAGCCCCTCCTCATCCCAGATCCACCTCGCTCCACCCCGTTCCGTCGCCATCCCCCCTGGCTGTTCCAAGTACATCCCATCCCATCCCATCCCATCCCATCCCATCTCATCCCATCCCATCCCATCCCATCCCATCCC